GACACCGGCTCCCCCTCACGCCGCGGGCCGGGGACACCGGCTCCCCCTCACGCCGCGGGCCGCGGCGCCGCCTCCTGCCCGCTCGGAGCAGCGACCCGCGGGCGGGGCCGCGCGGGCGGAAGCGGAAGGGGCGGGGCGGCGGCGCGTGGGGCGGCAGGAGCGGTACCCGTGGTCGGTGCCCGTGGCCGCGGTCGGTGCCGCGCGGCCGCCGGAGCTCCCCGGTCTCCCTCCCCCGGCAGCTGCCATGGCGGAGGCGGCCGGTGACGCGGGGCTGGGTCCGGGTCCGGGTCCAGCCCCAGCCCAGGAGGGCGCGGAGCTCGCGGCCGTTATCGGCGCGACCGTGCCCACAGGGTTCGAGCAGACGGCGGCCGAGGAGGTGCAGGAGAAGCTGGGCTCGGCCTCCAGGATCAGCAGGGACCGGGGCAAGATCTACTTCGCGGTGCCGGCCCGGAGCCTGCCGCAGGTCCGTGCACGCCGCCTGCTCCGCTCCCCGCTCCGCTGTCCCGGCCGCGGCCTCGCTGCCCTGCCCGGCCCGGCCCGGCCCGGCCTGGCCCGGCCCGGCCCGGTCCAGTGGGTCACGGCCCCTCCGAGCCGAACGCTCCGCTGTCGGAGGCCGCGGCCGGCCCGGGTGCAGCAGCTGTATCCGCCTTTATCGCGGTTTGAAGGGGATATTAAGTCAAAGCTGGGGAGGTTAAATCAGTGCAGAGGCGTAGAGTGATAACTCCTTTGGGGACTAAAGTGGAAAATCGTGCATGTAAGATGGCAAAATTCTAACGATAGTAAACACAATCCCCACGACACACGGTTAGTAACGTGCCACCGTGCCTTCTCATCTCCTCTAGGTCCACCGTCTGCGGTCAGTGGATAATTTATTTGTTGTTGTTGAAGAGTTCAAAGACTATCAATTTAAAGAAAATAAGGTGAGGTATTCCTCATTTTTCGGTCAGTTCTGGAGTTTGAAGTGTTGTTTGGTTTGACTTTTTTTTAATTTAAGACTAGTGACAAAGTATTCTGTTTGTTTAACAAGCTCGTTGGGTTTTTCAGTTGTGATATTGTTCCAGTTCATCTTTTCTGGCTTGTAAATGGAACTGTGGCCATGTTGTCTAACATTTTTTCAGTTAAATATTTTGCATTGGCAAAATCTGGGATGAGAGCTGATGCCATATTTGTAGGTCACAGACATAGGACAGTGCTTTGGTCACTTAATGCACTGCTAGCTGTTTGTTTTATGAGATAAATTGTGAAATCCTGTGGTTCTTGTGATTTTCAGTGTAATACCTTTTATGGCAAGAATTGGACAAAAACCTGTAAGCTTTTCTTAAAGATGTAGTGGGTTAACGTTTAATAAACTACTTTGAGAGACCTAAAAATAAAAGATAACTTTTAAAGGAATGGAATGACTTCAAAGTACAACTTCTCTCTGTTAAAGGAAGATGCTTTAAAGGATTTGGAAGATTTGGTTAAAAAGCTGCCCTGGACCGATCCGTTGAAAGTTTGGGAGCTGAACAACAGCTTAAAAAAGAAAAAGACAAAACGCAAAAAACACAATTTGCAGAGTCCTGCAGCCAAGGAGAAGCTGAATGATGGTGGAGAAGAGGGAGGAGTAGACCAAAAAGACACTAATGACCAGGAGGACTGTGCCCAAAACATTGCAGGTGTGGCTAGCAGCCAGGATACAGAGAAGCCCCAGGGGGTGGCATCCCAAAATGGGGGGGAGGAGGAAGAGGAGGATAACGAGCAATTGGATGCGAGGGATGAAGCGCAGGCGAGTTCTGGGAGCGGGCCCAAGGCTGGTGATGGTCAGACAGCTGAAGGAGAGGCGAAGGTGCTCAAGTTCCGAGTGACGTGCAACAGAGCTGGAGACAAGCACAGCTTCACATCCAACGAGGCTGCCAGAGACTTCGGTGGAGCCGTGCAGGAGCACTTCCAGTGGAAAGCTGACATGACGAACTTTGATGTGGAGGTATGGTGGTGTGCCTTGGAAATGCCTGTGTTTCTGCTGTACAAATCTTTAGTTCTTAATTCTGATGCTTAGAGGTCCCCAAATTGCCTTTCAGAGACTCTGGAACTGAAAGTGTTCATTTCCCTGGCACTTTACACGTGTCCTCAGATCCCAGCAGTTGCTGGTGCTTTGGCTATCCATGATGATAATCTCTGGAGTGGCCCAGTGTGGCACCTCTCCCTTCCCCGGGCCTCTCATTTGTTCAAACACTGCTGTCTCCTCTTGTTAGCTGATGAACCCAGCACAGCTGAGCTGGGGCTGCAAAGCTCTCTGCTCTCTCCCAGCCACAGCAAAGGCTTGAGTTCTGAGTATTAACCACCTGCTATAGCCTTTGGGCTCCTTCATATTTAAATGTGATGTCAGTGCCTTCTGCTTTGCTTTTACCCTCAGTAAACCTCTCCTTATTCCGTTGTTTAATACCACTCTAAGTTGTCAGGAGATGCTCCATCTGGAAGCTGGTTGTATGGGTGAAGGGAACAGAAAGGGTTAACAGTAACTGTCCAGTGTTGATTTCCTGTCAGAGGAGAGCAGAGTTTGGGAAAGCACAACCAATACCCTTGGTCCGTGGTGGTGCAGGAGCACTGTTTCTGAGGGACAGAGAGACTTGTTTTTCTTGTAGGTCTCTTAAGGGCTGGTCACTGCCCTGGAGCAAGATGCTAATATGGTCTCCACCACAAATATGAATTTTATTGCTGCTTTGCAGATACTTCACTGTGACTTGCAGGACTTACTTGGTTTCTCCCCCAGACTTACAAACTAAACCTTTTAGGAAGCCAGTGTAATTGTTATAGTGCTTTGGGAAGTCTTGTGTAAAAGATTCTGTGTGACTGAGAGATTATGTGAATGCTCTCCCAAGTTCTGTCCTTTATGGTTATAAAAATGGGGCTTTGATTTTCCTACAAGAAGAAAAGCTCTTTTATACATTGTTCCTGGTTTTTAAATTGCCATATAACTTCCCATAAATATTTACCAGGCATACTATGGAAACTCCTGAAATTCAGTTCAGGTTTTTTTCTTTAGGTTCTTCTGAATATTCACAACAATGAAGTGGTGGTGGGGATTGCATTAACTGAAGAGAGTCTCCACAGACGGAATATCACACACTTCGGACCCACCACGCTGCGTTCCACTCTGGCTTACGGCATGCTCAGGTCGGGGCAGTTGCCTTCTATTATACTCAGTTAATGAGTCCTTTTGTTTCAGAAATTAGGCCCTTTATCTCCCCACTGCTTCCTCAGAAGCCATTTCTGTTAATTCTTGAAAAAAAATTCAAAAAGCAGAGTTGCTGACATGGTGTGCTTTGTAGTTACAGTGGTGGTTTCCCAGACAAGGAAAGTAAATCTTTGCTGTGTTAGCCTAGTTTCAAAATAGTGTATCACATTTGTGAAAGAATTTCACTGTATTGCTGGTTGTAAAATGGTAATTAACGTATTGAAAAAATAATCACAAAGTTTTTTTGTTAAAAGGGTAGAATCAGAATTATTAAAATAGTTCACTTTCCCTTCCTTAGAGAAATTCAGATTTTCTTGGCTTTTCTCACCATATCTTTTCTTCTGTTCTTCAGACTCTGTGATCCCCAGCCCACGGATATCATAGTTGATCCCATGTGTGGTACAGGTGCGATACCAATAGAGGTGATTCTTCCATGATTTTTTTAACTTAATTAAACTTAACAGTATCTGTAACTCAATAATGTGTGTAAGTCTTCTTGGTAAGGACTGAATAGCAAGGTCCAATCTCACCAATTTTTTAACAGATACAAATACACTTTTTGTGAGTGACCTTTTTCCTTCTCTGGTCTATAGCAGGAAGAAACTAAATCCAAAAGTATTTTGAGCCTTAAAGGTGCATAATACCTGTAACAGCTGTCTGTTACAGAACTCTAAATTCCTTGCCATCCACTTGCAGTTGCTTTGTTGTATTTTGTCATGTTTGAGTAATTCTTCTGTTGTATTTTCAGTCAAGCAGTATTGATGCTGATGTTGCTTATTATCAATTCTCCCTAGGGAGCTGCGGAATGGCCCGGCTGCTACCACATTGCAGGGGATAACAACCCTCAGGCTGTGAAGAGAGCAGCAAACAACATCTGCTCCTTACTGAGGAAAAATGAGAGTAAGGACAGGTGAGAAGAGCACAAGGGATTTCTGTTTCCTGCAGTGTTGTATGCAGAGAAATCCACTTGGCATTGATGCTTTTGAGTGTCTAGTTCATATTTTCCTGTTTATTCTGCTTCCAACGTTCTAGATCTCCTCAGTGTAAAAACCTTCTGAGTGCTCATGTCTGAGGTAACTGCCTTTGCCCTTGCAGCAGCACCTCCCTGGGCATTCCCTTGGACATCATCCAGTGGGACATCTGCAACCTGCCTCTCCGGACCGGCTCTGTGGACATCGTAGTGTCAGACATGCCCTTTGGGAAGAGGTGAGGAGTGCTGGAAAGGGGCTGTGCCTCACTGCCACAGCTGCATGGGCTCACCTGGCCAGGCCTGGGCTTCTCTCCAGGCAGGTACTTAACTGGGCCTAGTTAGTTGGGAAGGTGTGACAGGCCCTATGGTAAAAATACAGCTTGAAAGTAACAGTAACTGTGGTCCTGAATAAGCTGATCCCTGTCTGAGGGACCAACGTCAGTGAACTGGTTTCAGTGATCACAGAGGACATCTGAATGTATCTTGCAGGATAGGGTCGAAGAAGAAGAACTGGGACCTCTACCCGGCCTGCCTGATGGAGATGGGCCGGATCTGCACCCCGGGGACAGGCAGGGCTGTGCTGCTTACCCAGGACAAGAAATGCTTTGCCAAGGTATGTTCTGTGAGAGAAAATCAAACCTATTTACACTTGAAAATGTATTGAGAAAAAAACTGTAAGCTGTCATCATTACAGATGTTTTATTTATTGTGCAAAAATTGCTAGCATCTAAATGCAGTTCTGGGTGTGAAAAGTCCCTTGACATTGCCATCAGATGTGATTTAGAATGATAAAAAATAATATTACTGTCTTAACGCTGCTCTCTGGCTGGTTTTGGCTTGCAGGCCTTGTCACGGGTGGGACACATCTGGCGCAGAGCTCAGACCGTGTGGGTGAACGTGGGGGGCCTCCACGCTGCAGTGTATCTGCTGCGGCGCACCTGGGAGAGAGCAGAGGAGAGAAGGTCCTTCTGGTGAACTGCGTGGAAGAAGACACACCTCCAGAATTTGCTGAATGGCCGTTTGGTGAAGCAGACACCACAGGGCTTGGGTCTGTCAGTTCCAAACCCAAACAACCTAAGCAGAAATTGTGTCACACAAATATTAAACCAGGGATCAACTTGAGAGCTGCCAGTTGTACTGTGTGTTCTGAAAACTTGTTATTTAAATCACCTCTCCTCCTTGCCACCCAAACTGAAATTCAGTTGTGGGATTACTAATGCTTTCCATGGCCTGAGTCTTCTATATTTTTCAGTTAAATGTTTATTCCTCTGCTTACAGTAGAAAACATGTTGAGGCAGCTGTGAAGGTAACAGTTTACCAAACTGTAGAAATCTTACATGTATCTTAAAATGACTAACAGGACTACTAAGACGGTCACCTTGAAGGGTTCAGAGGTAGTATTTCTCTAATGTGGGATATTTCCAAATTGAAGTTTTCTAATTTATACCATATGGTCTGATAAGCAAATTCCAGTTAGTAAACAATATGCTGTGCTACTGATTCTCTTGCCTGTTACCTCACCTTAGTGCTAATTACCAGTATATGTCTAATCCATATTTTAATGTTCCACTGTCTTGGCTGAGGGGGTAACTCACACAGCCTTAGCAAACCGTCTGTAGTTACCGTTTGAGAACAAAGATACTTTAGCAGCTATATTAACAAGTTCATGTTTCCAGTGTCTACTGTGGACACATCAAAGCAGCAGTGTTTGAATTTCTTAGGTGATTTAACTGTCATAGTTATGCTGCCACAGTATTTACAAAACTATATTCCCTGTCCACTAACTTGAAGTTGCAAATAATTTTTCTTCTCTAAACATACTGTGATTTCTCAAGCCTCTTACTCTGCTTAACAGAGGCTGAAAACACGTTACTGGTTTGCCCTTTTCATTACAGTGTGTTCATGCTAAGTACTTGTAAGTGTTCAGAGGCAAATTAACAAGTATTAAAGTTTTAGAAGTTTTGCATAAGAGATGATTCTTAATTGTGTTCTTTTCTGGTTTGTGTCCAGATTTAAGAGTAAAGGAAGGGTGTGGCAAACCCGTGTATTTGGTGAGAGGGTCCCTGAGGGGCAGCGCCGTTCCCGCCCCCCGGGGTTCCCTCACGGCAAGCCCCGCCCCTTCTCCCGGCCCGGCCGCGCGCAGGCGCAGAGGGGCGGGGCCGCGTGCCGCGAGGGGCGGGGCCAAGATGGAGCCGCCGCCGCTGCCGGGGGCCCTGAGCGGCCCGGCCGGCCCCGGGCCCGCGCTGCGCTCCGTGAAGACACGGGAGGTCTCCGAGGTCGTCTTCAACAACCGCAGCCCACGCTACGTGCTGCCCGTCTGGCTGAACTTCGAGGGCCTGCCGAAGAGCTACCCGGTCCTGAAGCCGCGCACCGGGCGCGTCTTTCACAGCTTCCGCGGTGGGTGCGGCGGGCCGGGCCGGGCCGGGCTGGGGCGTCGCGGGGCCCAGGTGGTTGAGATGGTTCACCATCTTCTTCTTTTCCTTTTTTTTCCCTCCTTTTCCTCTTTCCGCTCTTCTTTCTCTCCTTTCCTTTTTTCCTTTCCTTATTTCCCTTCCTTTTTTCCTTTCCTTTTTCCTTCCATCCCCTTTTCCTTTTTCCCTTTTTCCTTCTATCCCCTTTTCCTTTTTCCCTTTTTCCTTCCATCCCCTTTCCTTCTTCCTTTTTCCCTTTCCCCTCCCAGTTCACACCAGTGACCAAGGCGGCGGTGGTGGTGAACAGGGAGCTCAGCTGGAGAGCAGCTCTGTCCCTCCCGGATACAGCTCAGTCCTTCGCAAGTGCCCTTCAGAACTGCTCATTAAAAAGTGCCATAACTGCTGCATTCCCACCTTGTTCCCTCCCAGGGCACCTCTGGCTGTTCCGGGATGCAAGGACCAACGATGGGCTCCTTGCCAACCAGCAGGAGCTGTTTGTGGTAGCCCCCAACGTGACCAAAGCTGACATCACACTGCCAGGTAAGGGACAGCACTGCATGTCCCCTGGGGAATTCTGAACTTAGTCTCTTTGAACTTCAGTGTAAGGATGAGTGAGAAATCAGAAGTAAACCTGCTCAGACACAGGGAGAGGTGGTGAGGGATTCTGGGTAGAGCTAGGGGCAGACCTCTCCTGTAAAGGGTCTCTGAGGGGTTTCATAGGTGCCTCATGGCAGGAACCACGTCCCACCCCTCTCTGGTGAGCCCAGCCTGTGGTGGGTGACGCTGCTGCGGGCTGTGCTCTGTGTTCATGGGCTCAGAGCTGCGCTGTGGATGTTGGAGCAGCAGCTGAGAGCCCTTGTGACGAGGCTGTGTTTTGTTTGACCCCAGTGTTCACCCTGAAGGAGAGATGTCTGCAGGTCGTGCGCAGTCTGGTCAGCCCGGTGGACTACAGGAAGCTGGACATTGTTCGATCATTATATGAAGAGCTGGAGGATCATCCTGATATTTCGAAGGATCTTCAGCGGCTTTCTCTGGAGAGGAGTGAACCGTTGAGCAATGGAACTCTGGAATAACGTGATTACTCACTTCAGACTCTTCAATAGCAAACCACTGAGTTTGAGCAGCAAGAGTCACCAGGAAACACGCCAAGAACCAATGCCTCCATTTAAAGTTCTGGAACATAAACTCAGTTAAGTTGGTGATGGTAAGTCAGATCCCAAAGACTGAACAGCACCTGGGGTGTGCCAGCTTCCGATGGTTCGGGTTTGTTCCTCGTTACATGTATCACAAACTGACGGCTCCGGAGGCCTCGCACGGATGCAGCTCAGAAGTTTGGACACTGCGTAGGGATGTAAGATCAGGGCAGCTATATGGAACTTGTTCATACAGAGTAACTTTCATTGTATTGGAAAGCAAATTACACCCAGGATTAATTTAACCCAGACTAATGGTTTCTAAGTGGCAGATCAACACCGGATTTGTTTGAGTAATTTGTTTTGATGGAATTTCCCTGTCATGCATGCCTCGATGTGCCTGTGGGTCACAGCGTGGGGGTTTCTATGTCAGGGTTTCCAGTACCACCTGAAGACCTGACAAACATTATGTTGGTGGAAAAATGATGTGTAAAGGCTTGGGGTTTTTCTGCCTCTTACCTTTGCACTTATACAAACCCATGTCATATCTGCACTGCAGCTGACACATGTTTACTCGTATCATACCTTGAATGCCTTATTTGCCTTCATGATTGGATTCTTGCCTGGCTGATCTCAGCTACAGGGACCAGATCCTAGTTTTGGGACACTTTTGTCCTTCACAGCTGCTTTCCCAGCAGCCTGTACAGGGTTCACAGGAGGTAGATGCTTTGAGTCCTGCCTCTTCCCATCACAGTGCTGTGGTCCAGGTCATAGTGGGGGGGCCTTTTTAGGCCTCTCAGGACCAATGGGGGCTGTATGGGCTCACACAGCCCATTCACAGGCAGGGCCATGCTTTGTGGCAGGCTGGAGAAACAGAGATACCATTTCTTTGCCCATATTCTGTCCCCCACACCTCAGTGAAATGTGTCCTCGTGTGAAAGCAGAGTTGAAAGCAGCATAGTTTCAGCAGACACGTGAATTTTCCACCAGTAACAGATGTGGTGCTGCTCAGGTAGAAGCAGGTTGGCAGGAGATCACAGCAGGTTATGTCTATGCATACATTTGTTTCCAGTTGTACATTCTGGGAGCAGCTGTGAAACTGAGAATCTCAATGTATTCTGTAAGTATGGAATGTCTCCCCTATTTGTTGACTTGTCTTTCTTACGTATTTGAAGTGTGTGAATTGGTCTTTGACATAAAAATCCACACTAGCTTTCTGACTAATTCTGTCAGGTCACTCGCAGTGCCTGTGTGTTTGTATCCCTTGGACAGTCGTTGTGGTTGATCAGTGCTTTGGACTGTACAACCTGCCCAGCCCATTGCTGCAGGACTGTGCTGTGGCTCACAAGTCCTGTCAGCACAGCTTTGGGCAGTGTCTGGGCAGAAGGAGTACGTGCCAAGTCCTGCTCTTACCACCTCTCACAGATCTCTGAAGGGAAAGGTGCCCATGTGGGCCTCGGGAGCAGACGGGTCAGTGCCCCAGGGAGGCTGAGGGTGGGAGGGTGCTGCACTCTGCTCCTGCCCATACCCAGGAGGAGGTTCCCTCCTGAGGCCTTGCACTTCCATGAGCGTGGCAGTTCCACTAGGCCCTGGCAGAAAATTGGCCTGCTTGGCTGCAGCTTTTCCTGTAACAGAGTTGGCATTAGATGTTGGCTTTAACAGATCTGTACATGGCACACACATTCTGGGTATTTCTGAGCTGGCTGGGGTCTGTGATCTCTTGTGTTGCTTATTAGAGTGTATTTTTCTGTTCTGGAGTGCTCCTTTGGGTCAGAATAAAAGGCTGGAGAAACCCCCTGTGGCTCTAAGACATGAACATTGGGAAATGGAGCCTCCTACTAGTTGCTCAGCTGCATTAGCAATAAATGAATGTCATCACTGACTTGTGGCAGCTTCACTAACACTGGGTGGTTTCAGGCAGTCCCATCCCAGGAGCAGTGGTGAGAGCCAGGCCTCAGGGCCAGCCCCAGGGCTGTGGCAGGGAGTGGTGAGGCACAGCTGAAGGGGAGAAACCCTGGAGAAATAACAAATGGTTCTTATGTGTCCAAGGGCTCCAGGAGAGCCCGCAGCAGTTCAGAGTCCTGCCCACACCACACTGTGGGAAAGGGAAGGCTGAACTCATGAATATACAGGATTGTTCTAGTCTGTTTGGAAAGGCAGTTCCAGTTTCCCTGTAACACCCTGCATTACATGTCATGTTGGGAGCAGAACTGAAGCCAGCCATGGAGTTGGATGTGTTCTTTCCCCTTATTTTCCCCTGAGGCAAATAGTCTAAAAGGTTTCACAAGTTTTTGCAGTACCCAAGGGGAAGAAGTGTCTTTTCTTCCTGCTTTTATCCAGTTCCTTGCAACACAATTTCAGTCTCATCTTACATCACTTCCAGAGGTGCTCTGTCTTCCCACGACAATTTAGATGTGTGTCAGAGGGACAGTAAGCTGGGAAAATGGAGGGGAAAAACCCCATAAATGCAACTATTATTGTTGAACTGGTACTACTGCTGAAACAGCTCATCTCAAGGCAGTCTTTGAGTTGTCATATTTTAAATAATACTACACTTTGGATATTTTTGTTTAGTTTT